GTTTTTTCTCAATACACCTTTAAAGGTTTTTAAATTGTTTCATATCTGGTCAAGTTGAGATTTTTAAGAACCTCATTTTTAATTTGTAATAAAAGTTTACAACTTGATTTTTTAAAAAAAGTCAACAAAACTGCAAGCACCTGTTAATAAAGGTCTTAAATAATTGTCTTTGTGTATATTTATTTAATCTTAGACTCTATGTTTTTAGCTAACTTTGGGAAACCTTGGCCTGTCAAACAAAATGATTCTGAACAGTTTGCTTAAGAATAACAACAACCTGGGAGCTACTTAGCTTTGACATGTGTTGTTAGATACTGTTGAGCACAACTCACAGCTTACAGACTCATACCACTAATGACAAAATGTACAAAAGAACATGCAGCAAGCACAAATGGTATTAAATGCAGTTGAGTGCAACTTAAATCAGGAACTACCTATACATCAAATAGGGTGGAATGGACAGCAAAGGATAGGAGGACCCTCAGCCAGATGTCTGCAGCAGTGAACTTGATTGAGTGCATTGTTAGGTGCCATTGAGTCAACTAAACTCAGAGACCCTCTGAACAATAGATCTTAATTTTAACTCTATACTGCTTAATCTTAATTGCTCACACTCCAGCCAGTGTGACAGTCACTGAGGTCTATCTCAAGGGTCTTACTCTGACCCTCAACCTTTAAAGCGTGTTAACTTTTTCCAAGAACTGGCCCTCATATAACAACATACCCAAATCTGGGAGATGAAATTTCTCCATGCTTGGCTTCTAAGCATCCTGACTGTACTTCTTCCAAGATACTTTGTTCTTTTGGCAATCCAGGATATTCAGTATTGTTCAATACCACCACATTTCAAAAGTCTTCTTCCTTGACATCCTTACTTATTTCCCAACATTCAAATGCATAACAATTGAAAATACAAATTGGCTTAGATCAGGCATGCATTAGTTTTTAAAATTTATGTCCTTCCTCTCTAGCATTTTGAAGAAGTCCTTGACAAGATTTTCTCAATGCAATAAAACCATTTCTTGACAGTATGAGTTGTGAATCTAAGTAAAATGAAATCCATGAAAGCTTTGATACGTTGATCATCTTGTTCCCTATTCCAGTGGTGAAAATTTTTGAGAACTTTTTTTTTACCAGCTGCTAGGTGGGTTTGAATTGCTTTGTTTTCTTACTGAATGGTTGCATCACTTTCCTAGGTAAGTTTCTTGTTCTGAAAGAATACTTCCTAATATATTACATCTGTGTACTAAAAGTTATTTTCCTCTATTGCTTGAAAGCTGTTATTTCAGAAGTGCATGACCAGTGCTGCTTTTTTGTTTGTTTATAATCTGCTGATACTAGAAATAACTCTTGGCATAACTTCCAGCATCACAGCACCATGCAAATCAAACACAGTACAGCAAACGGACAAGTATGATACCCCTGAGTGCAACTCAAACTAGGATGTGACATTTCTTAAGTTGAAAAAACTGAAGAACAAATTGAAAACTTGAACTGCAGAACTTGAAGAGTTCCATGGGCAGAAATATAATGCAGGAAGCATAAAAAAGATATGGAAGGAACCCACAATATATGTATTCAAAGTAGTTGGTCTGGACAACCATTTGAAGCAATTGGGATCCAGAAGGTAGGTCTTTATTATTTAACAGTAAACCAATTAGGACCTGGTGAGGGAGGTTTTTAAATTTAATAGTTGTGGGGCTGCTGTGAAGATTGATTTGCTATCAGAGGTACAAACTGAATTGCCTTGTATATGGGGAAAACATTGTTCCAGTTGTTATGGCATTTGTAAGTTTGCTGTGTACTGAGATAACTTGTAGTTTGCTGTGATACTTAAAGCTATGCTACAGCAGTTATCCATGGTGGACAAGTAAACAGGATTGACCACTTAAGTAACAGGCCTCTGAAAACCCTGTGAGTTAGAAGAATGTAGTTCCAGTTATTAGTGGTAGAGCCCAGATCAGAAGTCAGTCAAAATGAGAAAAGAATAATGGCAAACATCCTTTAATAATTGAAACATGGAACGTGTAGCTTGAATGTTGGAAAGCTAGAAGTGAAAAATGGAACATTCGTACATCTGAAGTCTAGGCATTAGATGAGATGTACCATCTTTGGCCACATATACTAGTCAGATGGTATACTGTGCTGAGAATGAAAAACAAGAATAGTGCATTCATAGTGCAAAAGTCAATTTCAAGATTATCCTGAAGTACAAAATTGTGATAGGATAATAATTCATATGCATACAAGGAAGACCTGTTAAACAACTAACACCCAAATATACACTCCTACATGTAGAGCCAAAGAGGAAGAAATGGAAAATTTTTACCAAATCTTGTAGTCTGAAATTGAACATAGAATACATCTGGGTTAATGATAATTGGTGACTGGAATGCAAAAGTTGGAAATGATAGTAGTTGGGAAATAGGGACTTGATGAGAGAGAGAGGAGACTGGAAATAGTGACCCAATTTTGTCCTTTCAATGACTTAATCATTGCAA